GGTAAAAAATTTCTTCGCATATCTCGCATAAGAAAAACTGCTGTGACCAGAATTTTGGCGAGAGTCTTTGCATATTTACCTTTTTTCATTTCCCGGATTCTGGACTTTATCTATTGACCGGTTTTAATTTTTATTTTGATCAATTGAAACAAGAGCCTATATCGAGGTAAGTCTGAGCTTTAATTGTGTCACTTTTTGAGAATGTTGTATTAATTAAATTTTACTACTTGCCGTCTATAGGTCCGAACAGAGGATGTCAGATCTCAGTGTTTCATTTCCTGTTGGCAGGATTTCTCAGCTGACAGTAATAATTTTGAACAATTTTCGGCCCTCAGTTAAACCTACACTCCCCTGTAATACTGATGGTCAGCGTTATGCGCTCTTGCAGGGCAGGGGAACACTTCCGGCAACCCTTGAAATTGGCCCGAATTTTCATATCTTTACCCGGCCCACTTTATACGCAAGCACGCTTCCCTTTCCGACTGCGTAAAAAGGCTCGCTATGGCATCAAAAAAAGCTCAGAAATAATTTAGCAAGTATATATATATTCTATGGTGTTTATCATGCGAGTGACTGTTGAGGAACCAGACAAAATTCCTCATTATATAAATAAACATTTTGGAATATCAAATTAATGTCATCAAAAATAGAACACGATTTCAAAGAACTCTCCCTTCCTATTTTAAACTACTCTTTTTTCGGTTACGTAAGATGAGTTAAAGTAAAGATTTAATCCATTTTCGAGTTTGGAGACAAGAAAGTTTTTGCATAACTGTCGGAAAAAAGGCGATAATGTCAGACTGACATCCAATAAAAACTCGATTTTTCGTCTGATTTTTTTGCTATGACCATCGTCTGTGGACTCAATAGCCGCCATAAAATCAACCTTAATTTTCGCTCTGCTTCAGACTGGCTTAGCTTTTAAGCAAAGCAAAACGTAATTTCGTGACTGACCGAGACAGACAATCAAAGACCAGCTGTCCTCTTTCCTGCTAGTTACATGTGGGTGGGGTAGTAAATTAAAACATAGTAGGTGAGGCAGCGCGGTCAAAATTCGGATCCACTCCACGGATCGGTGGTTTCTGTTGTATTCTCGTTTATTTATTTCAGAAAACGTCACCAAAACGCGAAGTTGATGACATTCTTGACTGTGTACCGACTATTTAACAATTAGATTACGAGCTCGAGATTTTTATTTCATGGAGCTCGAGGGTGAATTAACTAATTGTTTTAGTGTAAATCTATGCTAGAAATAAGTATATTTTTTAACTGTGTGATAGATCAGAGAGTGGGTTATGCTAAAATAATTACACTGCTCTCCACTCTGATACTTGGCGAGGAAGGAATCTTTAAGCCGATAGAAAAATTCGATTTCGCCGAAGCCGTCCGCCATCAGCAAGAAAACCGGCTCAACATTGATAACAATAGGCATTGTTATAAGACCTAAAATTGGTCTCATATGGTCATTTTGAAACAATGGTGGTAAAAGCTTCTAAATACCCGCGGGAGTTTTTGAAATTTCCGATTACCATACGAGCGCGAAATTTAAACGATCAGAGAGACTGAATGNCTTTAAGCCGATAGAAAAATTCGATTTCGCCGAAGCCGTCCGCCATCAGCAAGAAAACCGGCTCAACATTGATAACAATAGGCATTGTTATAAGACCTAAAATTGGTCTCATATGGTCATATTGAAACAATGGCGTTAAAAGCTTCTAAATACCTGCGGGAGTTTTTGAACTTTCCGATTACCACACGAGCGCGAAATTTAAACGATCGGAGAGACTGAATGGAAGACAAATTCTCCAGAGGAAAGATGGTACTGGTATAATCCTGTCGGTGCAAATAGTTGCGATGGGGTGGCGGTTGAGCACATGTATTTAAAACCCATAAGATCAGTGTAGAATGAACGCAAAAATAGCGAGCAACAACAACAACAACAATAAAAAAAACCTTTATCAACGTGTCTGGGGTATTTAGCATTGCTGCGAGCGCGATAATTGAGCGGCAAAGCCGCTCGCCTCGCGCTCCCGCTGTTTCCACTAATTAAAATTACAGACGCGATGTTTTGGGTAGCGTTTCTCCGCTCTTTAATAATTTTTGCTTTACTTTCAACGTATTTNGGGCGTAAAATAGGGGTTGGCCGCTTTATAGAGGTTCGACAGGAATTTGCACGAAACTTCGTTAAAACGTCAATTTATCCAATTAAAAACTTGCCTGAAGGCTTGTGACTACTGCTGCACATCATAAAGACTACGTGTCACTGTTTTCCTGAGTCACTTGTTACGAAAACGGCTATATCCTTTATTTAAAAAAAAAAACACACACACAGTGAAGTTATATTTTTTACCCTCGGGTCAATATAAACATGGAATCACTTCAAGACAATGATAATAAACGTGTGTTTGAATGTTTTATTCAGTGTATGGCCACTTTCAATTTCGGACTCTTGTCTGTCGTCTCTTTTTTCCAAAACCCTCATAGAAAACTCTCATCGCCGGACTAAAAGGTGCCGTCGGCCGCCTAATAGAGGTGGCCGGTTAATAGGGGTTTTGTTTACGGTATTTTACTAACAATAATTTCGAGACTTTGATATATGTCATCTTAATTGGTGGCCGGTTAATGGAACATTTGACGGGTTATATTGGTTGGCTAATTTGACGGTTGACGGTAAAAATATTGCGTTTTTGACGGTCGACGATTAAATTTTTCAAGCCATACACACGAAATGGAATGGCTTGTTATATTTAAAATAATACTAACTAACCATTTGGCAGTTGGCTTCAATTCGAATTAAAGATATGTGTGATAGATCGATCAGTGGATTACGCTGATCGAAATAATTACACGGGTCGTTGTCGGTTTCTATGGACTTTGATTGTTGGCGAGGGGTGAAGCTATCAGCCGATAGGAAACTTCAAGTTCGGCGTCTTACTGATTGTGATTGGCACCATCGATTAGTCTCACTCCACTGCGCTTGAAATGATCGCTTTCACAAACAAATCAACTCTTAAAAGCAATCCCTGTCTGATTTTTAGTTCGGCATCACTATAATTAAAACCATGCTTTAAAATTATCCATTAGTTGCCTCCGCTATGATGAAACGGAAACAATAGATAACCGATAACAATAAATGTTTAAATGAGCACGAAAGCTTCATTTTCAATTGCCATCTACCTGATTTTGTGAAATTAAACCGTTAATTTTTTATTTTATTTTCGAGGTACCTGTGTTGAACATATTAAAGTACGATGCTGAGATTAAACGACAAAATCAAGCTCGTTATCTTGTGTAGGCAATAATCATGCTTTCAACTGGAAATAATTACGAATGAAATTAAATTATAATCATTGACACGTTTGAGATTAACTTAAAAGGAAACGTTTTATTATGCTAAGTAAAGTGGTAAGAGAAAACCTTATAAAAGTTTGGAAGAGTTCTCCCGACATTTGAAAACCGATTTATTTTAACTCATCATTAGGAGCAGATAATTCGAACAAAGAATTCCAGAAATGCAGTTTCTTGACGGTGGCTAACTGCTGAACCCATGTGAAGACACTGTTACGTGTAAATATTTTTTCATGGACATTTTGTTCCACATTAATTTGCTGTAAAGCAACGGAAGGTAACAATCACATCCAGTGAGGTTAGTTGTTCGCTTTTGGTGTCTATTTTAAGTATATTAAAGTTAAGTAAACTAAAACATCCAAAAAAATGCGAATCATGCCAGTGGTTGATACGTGTTTATTTAAAGGTTTAATTCCACTTTTACCTACAAGAAAACAAGACAAACATCGTGTCCCTGTTAGCCGGGTCAAAGCAGACTCCATGCGATTAGTCATATCCTTTGCTAATGAAATATTGAACTGCTCAGTTATACATCTTTCTTTGAGCTTCCTTCACCAGTGCTACCCAGATGACACTAGAGGACTCGCCTATTATTTAGCTGCGAAGGGAAGCGGAGTTGAGATGTAGAAAAGTCTTTATAACTTTTTTGATACTAAAAGAGAAGCTAGAGAAGGTTAAGTTAACGTTAGTAAAGTTAACTTCTGAGACCGAAGAGTCCCTTTTAATTGCGTAATGACACATTTACTATTATTTCAGGGAAGTACTATGATGGCAAACAACTCCAGCCGCCTTCCTTATGAAGCATGTCTGATCCCGAACCTTCCTGAAGAAATCCAGCATCGAGTGAGAGACATTAGTAACTATGTTGTGCGACCGCTGTACATGCTGTTTGCCGTCATGGCATTTGTTTGTAATGCGCTGATCTGCGTCACTGTAGCACGAACTAAATCTCTTCAACGTCCTTCGCTGCTGACGCTGTGTAGCTTGTCGGTTACTGATTTGTTATATGCTCTGTTTTCTCTGTATATGGGCACAAAAACAGTATTAAGCGAGCACATGTGTCTCGGCAAAGCGGGCCCCGAGGAAAGGGCCATGAATGTCTTGAGTAGCTTAGCAACCCTTGGCACTCTAGCAGTAATCAGCAGAGATCGTTATTTGGCCGTGACAAAACCCTGGTGGTATCGTAGTCACGTAAACACATCACGTGCTATTAAGATATCTTGTATACCTTGGATAATCAGCGTGGCTTTAACATTTGTCCACATAGTTTACTTTGTCTACAAGTTTGACGGCGGATACAAGCAACTTGCACACACCATCCCCCTAGTGTATTATTGTGTTTGTTTCGTTATCATCATTTCTAGTCATCTTGGTATATATCTTAAGAAATCTCCAACAGTTGGAATAAGAGAGATACAGGCGGTAATGAAGAGAGAAAAGAAATCAGCTGCCACTATTAGATTGATCTTGTTGGTATTGTTGTTAACCTTCCTTCCAGCTCTCCCGTGGCCAATAGTTTTAGGACTGAAAGGTATAGACAATGTTGGACCGTATCGTCCTTTCATATCTTTCCTTTTCACCGTGGATACGCTTGTGAATCCTTTGTTGAACTTTGGTCGTAGTAAGGATATGCGCAGAGCGGTAAAAGGTTTATTTAGGTGCTACCAGCACGTGCAACAACAGCAACAACAGCAACAGCAACAACAGCAGCATTTCCAATCAAGTTCAGGAATCGAGAATACATTAACTGTAACGACAGGCATGTAAATATGGTAGTACGCTGGAAAGAATTGTCCGATGTTAGAGTTAAAGACTTACTGTAAACTAACAAGTTATGAAATTCACGCTCAGTAACAAAATGGAACCTGTGCGTTTCCCCTAGCTGTAATAGTAACTTATGTGTAGATTGTATGGATATGAATAAATTGCTCTCATTAGTCTCATTCTCAGCGACTTATTAATTAACAAGCAATCCGATTGGTCAGATGGCAGGTATTTAACATGGTTATAAACCCCAATTGAAATGTAGGGGAAATGAAATTCCTGACTGGGGCAAGTGGTATGGACATTTCCGAGAAACCTTTTCCGCAAATCCGAGAACTGTAAGAACGCTTTCCATTTCACCAAAGACCCCTGTTTAAATGTCTGGAAATTCCCTGTGGCAAATGTAAAAGAAGAGCTTTTTTTAAGAGTCTCCGGAGAAGTTGCTTTCCATCAAATAGTTGTCCAACCTATCTCAGGGTGCATTTCTATTATCAGATTGCTTTTAAAAGAAGTTCCCTTTACCATCTGGCCTTTAAAGGTTTGTGTTATATATTGGAGCGTGCTTTGACTTTGTAATGCTCCAGATTTTTGTCAGCGTGTTTCTCTCTTATAAAAAACGCTTCCAGTCGGGGCTTTTTCTTTGGCTGTCTATATTATGGCTTTTGGGATCACTTATCAAAATAGCTTTAAAATATTTCCCGCAGTGGAAGTGAGGAATAGCCCCCAAGCCACTGTAATATGCGAAACCACTGAGTAAGAAACTCTTGCAGGGCAAAGAAACACGTTACAATCTATCCTGAGTATACACTATCAAAACCATCGATCCCTGAAAATTTCGAATCACTGTCTGGTCCACTTTGCTTTTTACCCCGTCCACTGCCTTTGGTAAATTGCACAATGAAAGCAAACAAACAGTCTGTGCCCATCGCTGCTCTGGTCTCGTCCAGTTTATACGCTTTCAAGAAAAGGCTAGCTATGGCATCAAATGAAAACATTAGCAAATGTAGATCAGTTTCTTGGTCGTTTATCATGCAAATGACAGTTGAGGATCCCGACAAAATTACT